GGAGCAAAGAACCTGCCACGCATGTTCTGGAACTGACGATGACTCCACCCCTCTGTGCTACGGAAACAGATGGGAGGATAGCTGGGAGGGCTATGGGGGCTGGGGGGGGGGGGGGGGGCAACAGGATGCAGATGAGTGATGCAGGAAAGGCTGGGATGTGGGTTCCGAAATGGATTGGAAGGCTCAAAGGGCATCTTTGGGTCAAACAAACCCCATGCCCTGCAGAGTGAGAAGAATTATAAGAAATGCCTGCAAGGGTATGTGTGTGTGTGTGTGTGTGTGTGTGTGTGTGTGTGTGTAGGGGGGCAGCAGTGACCTGCTCTGGTACAAAGGGCCCAAGAAGACCTTCTCCAAGCTCGACCTGGAAATAAAAGGTCCTGATGCAGACTCATCAAGGCAGTAGCTTCTCTGTGGCCCAACTCCAGCAGTCCTGTGGCCTGGGGTGAGAGAGGCCCCAAGGAAGGGAAACTTGGCCAAGCTTGGCCAGAAGAGCTGAAGCATCTTTGGGGGAACAGATACAGAAAAGCCGCAACAGGGCTCAAGGTGAACCAACAGGGGCCAGATAAAGAGTCAGACAGGGGGTGAGCAGTCTACAATGTGGGGACTCATTAAACATAAAGACTCAGGGGTCGGAACGCTAGTACAATGGGTAGGGCATTTGCCTTGCACACAGCACACCTGGGTTCAACTTTTGGCACCCCATACGGTCCCCCGAGTACCACCAGGAGTTATTTCTTAGTACAAAGCCAAAAGAAGTAACTCCTGAGCATCACCGGACTTGACCCAAAAAGAAAAAAAGAGAAAAAAAATTTAGGGTTACAGACATACAGCTAATACAGCGGCTAGATAAGGCATTTGCCTTACACACAGCAGACCCAGGTTCAATTCCCGGCTCCTGCGCCCCTGAGTGCAGCCAGGAGTGATCCCTGAGCACTTGATTTTAATCTGAAGTACTAAATGGGGGTAGCAAGTGGGGGGTTAGAGGAGGAGAAGCAAAAACTTTACTTTCCTCGTGAAGAAATCGGACGCTCTTAAGAGATACAACATAAAGTCTTCCCGACACATAGAGATGCGGGGCTGGAGGTGTGTGTCACTGCACTCACCTCTGTGGCCCCTCCCTGGGTCCCCCTTAATGATGGTGTGTCCCCTCCTGGCACTGTGTGCCATCTATAGAAGTGCTCTCGGTCCCTGAAACCACCAACACGTTTCAGCGGTCCCCAGCAGCTGAAGCGCTATTGAAGATAAATACTGTGAATTGATGAAACGACCAATTACATGAAGTGCCCGGACACGGTGTGATCCGAACCAAATCTCACCCATTATCCTCAGACCCGAGCGGTGGAGGAGGGCCCTTGAGGACTTCCGGGTAATTCTTACAATGGGGCCTGCGCCGTGAAAACTGACTGCTCAGCCGCTTTGGCGTCGAATCCGGGTCCAAGGACACAGGCAGGCCCCGCCAGTCAATGCTGTCACTTGTTCCACGCCTTCCAGATTCCATTGTCCACGGATGCTCTGCAGCGCAGTGCCACGTTCTCTCCCACACATGGGCAGTGGGGACCATGCCAACCACAAAGTGCCAGGCCCACTCGCACACGCTCATTCCTACCCTGACTGCAGACCCTTGTCCTATCCGCATGCCCACAACTATTTCTTTCTCTCTCTGTTTATTTTTCCATTGGGAGGGAAGGGCAGTTGGCAGAAGACAGATGAACCTCCAAAGTGATGCTCCACAGACCTGGGGCCTGTGCTGGTGACTCTTAAGCAACCAGGCGGTTCAGTTCAATGCCAGGGTCTGAAAATGTGGCGCTGATGGTGGCCCTGCAGTGCCACGGATTCTCAGAGACACCCCAGGGCTGCCCAGGGCTCCAGGATGCTCCCAGCAGTCTGGGGATAGGACCAGAGGTGCTATCCCAAGTGCTTTGCCCCTTTATTATCTCACTCCACCCCCAGGCAGGCCCCTTGCTCAAGTGTCTATTCTCCCCCCTCGCCCCCAAGTGACCATCCCTGCATCCGCACCCTTCCCCCATGTATCAGTCTCTTTTCCAATCAACATGTTCTTGGACTGAGCTTCCTGGCGTCCGTCCCTTAGGTGTCCAGCCTCTGGGTCCCTTCACCCAGCAGTTTCCTGCCCGAGTCTTGCTCTTGATAGTTTTCTGACACCTACATGCAGGGGGGCTTCTGACCCTGGTGGACTCTTGTGACCACCTTGTGCCTCACTTGTAAGAAATAGGTCCTTGAGGGCACAGGAAAATAGTCCGTATCTTGCTGGCCCAAGTCCTACAGCTGGAACCTAGAGGCTGAGAGTTTTCCTGGTGTGATTACCAAGAAAAGGGCTCTCTCCAACGTGCCACAAGGAAAAGCAAGAAATGGCAGAGTGCCGAATCCAGAAGTGCCAAGGATAAGAGAGGTGAAGAGCTGGCAGCAATCAAGATCTGCTTCCACCAACACCAGAGACCTTTCCTTGGCACCACTGGGCAGCTGGCTTGGTTAGATGCCAGCAGAGGGACACGGGCAACTTCTGGAGGATGGGGATCACCCACCAAGGACTAGGAAATATTAACTCAGGAGAACATCCTTTGAGGACGTCAAAGGAACACAAACTTTGAGAACTCTAATCATCAGAAAAATGTCCTTTTAGAGCTTTATTTGCGTGGAGCAAATGAGAAAACATCACATAAAAGTCAAAGTTAACAGATCCCCTGCCCACACTTCTAAAGTCAACCCAGATTCTCCTGAGTGACAAGTGTACCCCAGAATCTGGAGTGATAGCATAGGGGTAGGGCATTTGCCTTGCACGCTGCCGACCTGGGTTCAATTCCCTGCCCCTCACAGAGAGCCCAGCAAGCTACCAAGAGTATCCCGCCACATGGCAAAGCCTGTGACGCATTCGATATGCCAAAAACAGTAACAACAAGTCTCACAATGGAGATGTTACTGGTGCCGGCTAGAGAAAATCAATGAACAACAACAGTCCTACAGTGCTACAGTGCTACCCCAAAATCAATGGGCAGCAGCAGATCACAAATGAATTCAGTGAGCATCTCAAGTGTGCTAATTTCACTCTAGTGCCTGGAATTTCTCACCTTACCAGGAAGAAGGAAAGAGATACTAGCCCTGAGCTGGGTTCATCCAGTGAAATCATTCACTTTCTGGAAGTATATTGGTCTTTCTCCCATGCTTTTCCTTCATAATTCCAAATATATTTAAAGCAAATTCTACCAATGTGGAACTTAATGAAATAAAATACCAAAACACACTAAGAAGGTAAAATTCTAGGGGCCAAAGTGATAGTACCGTGAGTGGTGGGTAGGCCACTTGCCTTCCATACAGCCAACCCAGCTTTGATCTCCAGCATCCCATATGGTCCCCTGAGCCCACCAGGAGTATTCCCTGAGCTCAGAGTCAGGAGTAAGCCCTGAGCACAGCTGGGTGTGGTCCCGAAACTAAAAATAAAGAAGGTAAAATTCTACCTCTGAAACTCAAAACATGACTGATATTCATGTCACCATCACAGATAGTAAGAAAACAGATCTGAGTAACTGAAAACACTGACTAAAAACAACCAAAGGACCCCATCAGCATCCGTTTCTACTTATGCTCGTGAAAGGGTGAACAAAACGGGCGTCTTGTGAATGAGATACTCGTTTTTGAGAGCAGGAGTTCCCCATTCTAAAAAATAGGGTATCTTCAATGGTCGTTAAAATTGGAATCAATCAAACCTGTCTATCTACATTTCACTTGTACCGAGTCAGACCACAAAGAAATCCTTCACATTTCCGATTTCACAGGCAATTAAGAGACAATATGCAATTGCACAGCCTATAAAGCAACAAGGCAAGGGCGAGGGCCTCTCTCCTCAACTGTGTGAGGTGCTCCAGAAATCTGAAGATAGATGCCTCCTGTTTCTTTCCTTCTTTCCATTCTATTTTTTGGGTAGCCACACCCAGCGATGCTCGGGGGTTACTCCTGGCTCTGCACTCAGCAATCACTCCTGGTGTGATCGGGGGATGTATGGGGCACCAGGGATCAAAACCAGGTGGGCCAGATGCACCGGCAAGCTCTGTGCTCTCTCTGGCTGAGGTCTCCTTTCCTCTCCACACTGATTCAAAGGCGCTGGAGTTCTTCTCTCTAAACCCTGCCCTGATGAAACACGCTGATGGTGCTGGTGCTGGTGCAAACTAAGCCACATGTAAGTGTGAGCCACCAGTGGCACGCACCGGCACCCACACAAGCTCCTGGTACGGCTCAAGTCACCTGCCTGTGCCAAGAGACCCTGAGAGAACAGGACGCAGGGAGGTCCTTGGGGGTCGGCCAGTCACCGCCTGTCTGCGGGGCACGTTGACAAAACAGGGCTGGGCAACTGGATGTTAAGTTCTGTAAAGACCAAGTGCACCAGATCGTCACTTTAACCATACGTTCCGGTGCATCAGCCCAGACACTTATTAGTGGCCAAAATGAGATGAAAAATGGTCTGAGTACCCCAAGCACCCGGGACATTCCTTCTGGCTAAACAACAGACGAAGGGATTCTCCCCGTCCGCCAGGGTCACAAGAGGGGAACTGAGTCCCAGAGCCAGCAATGGTCTCCTTTCCAGAAGCACAATCGTTAGGGATCGGCCAAGAACACACCCACACGCCAGGAACATCGCTCATGGTCCAACAGATCCAAAGTGTCTGCGGGGTGCAGGGAGCACGCCCTACGGTCCCAGCGTGGGCGGCGCGTGCTCTGCCCCACCCTGGGCTTCCACTAGCCCTGCTGCGGCCGGCGGGCCTCCCAAGCAACCTTCCTGTGACTCGAACTTCGCCCCAGCAAAGCAAGCACTTCCAGAACAGCAGCGCGACCGCAAGTGCCGAGAGACAGTCCCGGCCCCCACCGTCCCGGCCCAGCGAGCCGGAGGGTTGAGCGGGGAGGAAACGGAGAAATGTACGAGCAGACCCGACCCACAGAGATGGCCGCTCCCCAGTAGGCCCGGCTTTCCCCAGGGGCGGCGAGAGGCCTACCTTGTAGCAGGGCTCCATTCCTCTTGAAGAAGGTACTGCCCGGCCAGATGGGGGGCCCTGGTGTGCTGCAAGAGAAGAGAGAAGAGGGTAAGCGCCCGCCTCTGACTTCCCCGGCCCATGCTCAGGGCACGCTGCTTCAAAACACCACTTCGCGCTGGCTTCTGAATACTTTCCTACCAGCTCCCCCCTTACTCTGCCCCAAAGAGCCTATTTTATAAACTGTTTCTTCATGATTGCCACTCAATGCCTTTTTGCAAACCACAACACCCAAAAGGAGAGAGAGAACAACAGGGAATGCCCCTGCCACAGAGGCAGGGTGGGGTGGGGGGATGGGGGTAGGAGGGATACTGGGATCCGTGGTGGTAGGAAATGGGCACTGGTGGAGGGATGGGTATTTGATCATTGTATAATTGAAACCCAAGCACAAAAATTTGTAAGTCTACAACTGTACCTCATGGTGTTTCACTAATAAAAATTAATTAAAAAAAAATAAAAACTGTTTCTTGGGGGCTGGAGTGATAACATAGCGGGTAGGGCATTTGACTTGACCTGCACGCGGCCAACCCGGGTTCGATTCCCAGTATCCCATAGGGTCCCCTGAGCACCGCCAGGAGTAATTCCTGAGTAGAGACAAAAAAATCCCCTGAGCATCGCCAGGCATGACTCAAAATGAACAAATAAATAAATAAAATCAAACTGTAAGAAATACCTTAAAAAATAGGTTAAAACTATCTTACTTCAGGGCTGGAGTGAAAGCACAGCAGGTAGGGCGTTTGCCTTGCACGTGGCCAACCCGGGTTTGATTCCCAGCATCCCATATGGTCCCCCGAGCACCGCCAGGAGTAATTTGAGTGCAAAGCCAGGAGTAACTACTGAGCATCGCCGGGTGTGACCCAAAAAGCAAATAAATAAATAAATAAATAAATAAAATCGGTTTCTTTGTGGGGGTCACACTTGGAGCTGCTCAGGGCTTGCTCCTGGTTCTGTGCTCAGGCATCACTCCTGATGCGTAGCTCAGGGGACCGTGGGGCGGGGAGAGACTGAGCCCGAATTAGCTGTGTGTAATGCAAGCACCTCACCCTATCTCTCCGGTCCCCGGAACGCCTCTCTGTAAAACCATGAAGTGAATTTGATATCCACAAGCTTCCCCGTTCCCAGGGCAAGACCAGCCAGGGCTCACACACCAGCCAGTGCCAGTCTTAACCCTGGCGCCTCCCGGGCACTGCAGTTACAGGCCAGTAAACCAAGGGCCAGCTCAAGCTTCCGTCTCACAGCGCGTCACTGAGGAGGGTTGCTAACCCAGACAACTTTTTCATTTTTACGTGGCAAAGGACAGACTACTGCCAGTATCTGTAGGCTGCTGACATTTCCTACAGTCCCCTGCCCTTCCTAAATGCAAAGGCTTCACCCCACCGCCCGATCCTTACCAAACGGATAGGACCGTGTCGAACGTCCCCCATCCGCCAGCCACACGGTCTAGCCTGTCTTCAACTGCACGGTCTCAAGCACAGTGCTCTGTCTCCTAGCAAGCACTTCACAGCTCTGTTTCTACCCTGAGTCTGGTACTACTTCAGAGAGGCAAGACAATGAGAGAGAGCACCAGATCCCCAAGCCCCTTTCCTGTGCCCACAGAAGGGTACTTTCCGCTTTACAACACCCACTAAATCGGCTGGTAGCCACACGGGTCCTGGCCCAAGAGCTTCCAAGAGCGGGAGGCAGACTCTGCAACATCAAGAGCAGCTGAGATTAATATTAGAAAACAGTCAAAACGATGACTCTGCCCAGGGCATGTTCCTTCTGCCAAAGGACGGTACAGACAGCCAAATGGTCAGCGCAGCACGAACAGGCCAGTGGGGCTGGCGGGTACTCGTGTAAGTTGCAGACGTGTGCACCCGGGGCTGAGGAATCTGACAGGCCATGCTCTGAGCGCTTTCCTGGTCACGGAGTCACGGGGTCTCTGGCCGTACAGACTATAGAGGTCATAGAAAAGCCAGTGGCACCTTACTGCTGGTCAATGTGCCCTTCCCGGAGAAACAAACAGTAGGGCAGGGACCAGGCCTTGGTCCGTGACCAGGCCACGCTGTAAACCATTGTGAGCACCACTATTAAGCATGTGATGACACTGGACACACACAAACCCTGCAGAGATGCGTGTGCGCCCTTAGAGTGTGTGTATGGCCCATCTGGGTTCGGGCACCTGCACCCCTGCCTCTCGGCCGTGGACATCATGGGCCCTCACGTGGCCCCGGCTACAGAGCATGGAGCAGAGCTGGCCCACGGGATACTGCCGGCCAGCTGACTTCTCTTCCTTCGCATTCCAGTTCTGGTTCTGTTTTTGAGGCTTTTAAGGCTCCGAGTTGCATGAAGAATAATGCGCATTAAAACGCTTAAGATTATCTTTTAACAACTCCAGCCAGCTCCTGGGGATTTTACCATCTTATTTTTTTTTTCCGCAGGAAATAGCAAGCTAGCTGTTGCCAATATGGAATCACCTGATCTCGAAAGATATTTTTAAAAACTGAGGACTTCATTACAGCGGACTCGGAGCTGTCAGAGAATCCAATAATTGAGTATTACTGCAGGAGCCTGAATATCCAGCTTACTTCCCTCCAAATCTCCTCTTTATCCTGACCTTGATTTGGCTGAAAACTGAGTAGACGCCGGGGACTGAGCAAATGTGGGCAACCGAGGTCAGGTAAATCCTGTGGTTTAGATAAGGAAAGTCTCTCTAGGATAGAAATCTCCTTAATGATTCTCACAGCCTCCTCTTAATGTACCAAAGTGACAGGCACTGCCCCTCCCCCCAACTCCAGTCATTCTGCTGTGCCTGTCACCTCTAGGTCAGTTGGCCGGTGTCCCACCTTCCTCCCCCGAACCCTACACTGTGAGACCCGGAGTGCCTGTGATAGCGAGGAAAGGGACACAGGACGGGCAAGATTAGGGACATTTAGAGGGCCAGATGAGGAATATGGCCCTAAAGAAAGGAATGTCACATAACACAGCGGGTAGGGCGTTTGTCTTGCTTGTGGCTGACCCAAGTTCGAGTCCCAGCATCCCATATGGTCCCCTGAGCACCGTCAAGGGTAATTCCTGAGTGCATAGCCAGGAGTAACCCCTATGCATTAGGGAGTATAGCCCAAAGAGCAAAAAAAATAAAATAAAATAAATAAATAAAAAAGGAAGGAAGGAAGGAAGGAAGGAAGGAAGGAAGGAAGAAAGGAAGGAAGGAAAGACTGTCACAAGGGTGGTGGGGTGATGTCCGAGAACCTGGATGACCTAGGCCCAAAGTGGACACTGGAAGAGAACCATCTCAGCATCCTCAGCCATTGCCTAAAGACAAGATCTGGTGTCCCGCGACAGAGACCAAAGGGGAATGGGAAGGGCAAGGTTAGGGGTGTCAGAGATTGCTAAGCAAAGAACTCACGGGGCAGAGAAGGCCACAAGCGTAGCATAGGAGGTGCCCACTTGCCCTTCAGGCTCCCACCCCAGGAGAGAATCCTCTCAGCATCCTCCCCCATGTCAATGGCCCATACTCTTGGAGCAGAATAGAGAGACGCTCACCCACTCACCTTGGCTGAAAACGTATAAACGGGGAAGACCTCAGCCTTTCTTTGGGATCCTGCCTTTGGAGACCCCTCCCATAAGCTAGGAGCTTCCCCACCTCCCTTTTCGTTTCCTTAAATAAAGTCTCTTCATGCAATTTGCTACCACCTGGTTGGAACTGGAAGACAGCGTGCAGAGGGAAGGAAGCCAGAAAAAGACAGACAGACACACAGGGTGATGGCACGCATCTGTGGAGTACAGCATACTGGAAGAGGAAGAGTTCACTGCCACTGTCACTGAACTCCCGTTGTTCATCAATTTGCTCAAGCGGGCCCAGTAACTTCTCCATTGGAGACTTTGTTGTTACTGTGTTTGGCATATCGAATACATCACGGGGAGCTTGCCAGGCTCTGCCATGCGGGCGAGATACTCTCAGTAGATTGTCGGGCTCTCCGAGAGGGGCGGAGGAATCGAACTCGGGTTGGCCATGTTGGCTGCCTGCAAGGCAAACGCCCTACTGCTGTGCTATCGCTCCAGCCCGGAAGAGGAAACGTACTGTAATGAAAGGGGGAGGCTTAGATCATCCTGGACCCCAGTGCTTAGAGAGGAGACAGAGAAGGCAAGAAATCAAGGGCAGAAGAAGAGAATGGGAAGTAATGGGTGAACAGGCATCCATGGGGGCCTCAGTTGTACCAGGGATACGGGTGAGGGGTGGAGCCAGAGATCCAAATCACAGATTCAGCAACAGAACTAAACACATGAGATGTGGGCAGCATCCCCTGAAACTCTGTAATGTGCCTGTGAAGCTGACAGGTGGGGTGGAGTGGGGTTGGGGTCGGGAGGGAATCTGGGAAAACTGGTGGAGGGAAAGGTGTTGAATTACTGTATGCCTAAAACACAACTATCAGTAACTTTGTAAATCATGGCCCTTTAATCATTTTTTAAAAAGTTTTAGAAAGCAATAAAATAAAATGATGAAAAGTCTTCTAAATTCAGCCATTTGCTCTCTCTCCAGTTCCTTTCTTTCTTTTTTTTTTTCCTTTTGTATGTGTGTGTAAAGGGCTGGAGCAATAGCACAGCGGGTAGGGCGTTCGCCTTACAAGCGGCCAACATGGCCGACCCGAGTTCGATTCCTCCGCCCCTCTTGGAGAGCCCGGCAAGCTACCGAGAGTATTCAATATGCCAGACACAGTAACAACAAAGTCTCCAATGGAGACGTTACTGGGCCCGCTCGAGCAAATCGAGTATGTGTGTGTGTGTGTGTGGGGGGGGGGGTCACACTGGGCGATGCATAGGGGTTCCTCCTGGCTCTGCACTCAGGAATCACTCCTGGCGGTGCTCGGGGGATCATATGCTGGGGATCGAACCTGGGCTGGCCATATGCAAGGCAAATGCCCTCCCCGCTGTGCTATAGCTCTAGTCTCTAGTTCCTCACTTTCAACTGACAGCTTGAGGACAAGAATCTAAGCGCCTATCCCTGCTATGACATACTGAGCTGAGCATCTCCTGGTTGTTCTTCCAG